TGGGTAACCCTGGGATTTCATGAGTATGTTTTTCTCTTTCTGAAATCCGGTTTCTTTTATTACTGCTTTAATATTGTATATAAAGCCAAGTACTGTCTTGAAAGCAGCACTCCTAATGTATATAGAGGATATAAAAAGATTTCTCAGCAAAACTGACCTCTCAGTGGCAAAGAAAATTGCAGTGGAAGACACATTAGTGCGTAGTCGTATCTGAGGCTGGGATCTATGGAGACTCTCACTCCACTATCCTCTAGCCTTCCCTTATAAACCAAAATGGCTTACAAATGTCATCCACAATAGTCCAATAAAGATTAGGAACAAAACACTGTCCTTACGTTGATGAGATAAGAAAGATTTAACTGCAGAAGGCAGTGTATAAGAACAGTTCATAGGCTTGTTCTCGAATGAGAAAAATAGAATTCAAATTATATTTGTGTGTGGCTAGAATTTAATTGAGATGATCAGTTTATTTTCTACATAATGTTTGATCAGATGCCTCTACTACAGAGCTAGATAAGAAGAAAAGGAAAAAAAGAAAAACATTCTATCAGGAGAAATCAAGAAGACCCGTTATCTACGGAGTGTGCAAAATATGTCAGGAAATAATTCTACCCTGAGCACTGAGAATGCTCAGTTAATAAAAAAAGATCAGCCCCTCGCTAAGAGAAAATAATTGTCTGTATCTATATTTTTCAAAGCAAAAAGGCAGCCACATCTTACACCAAATAGGACACATTAAAATAAGCTTTAATAATCTTTATGCAGAAGGAAACTAATCCATTTTCAGATCATACGATCCACAGCAATAAAAGGAAATCATCAAACTAAAAACAATTTTAGAAATGGCTGCAGACTCTCATTTAATTAACATGCAACAGATCATATATTTATGAGGAAGTCAAAATATTTAGGAAGCCTATAATCCTGTAAGCCTTAATGTGGTATAAAAACAACAAATAAATGCAAAGTGTTACTGTTATACATGCCTGCCTGATCAATGGTTTTCACATATTGATCTATAAATGGAGTTGACAGTCTGTGTTGGCTGCACATTTTCCAAGCAGCGCTATTTTTGCAGAAAACCAATACGGGCAATTACCTTTGTTTGAGATGCCAAGTCTTATCAATTCAATGTGATTTAGTGTCATTTTAATTAAATATCAGGATCCACTTCAGGACAATTTATACAAACAAAGCCTCAAACCTAACTATAAGCTTGATTTGAAGTAAACATGGACAAGTCCTACAGTCTCATAATATTTCTCAAAAACTCTGCTAAACAGAAGGCTTATATTTTTAGTAGCAATTTTTATGTCTGCCTTTTTGGCTAGCCACAACTTTGGCAAGTATCCTATAATCACAGAAGTAAGAAACAAAAGAAAATTGTTTCCTCTTTTTCTTTATAATATATTAAAAAAGAAAAATGAACATGCACAGTCTGTTAATGGAAGCAGGAGTCATGTACGTTAGCATTTAGGAATGGCTCGACCTAAGTCCTTATCCTAACGGTAATAAAAAGATATTTCCCTGTCCATGAGGGCCATGAATAAAGTATTGCACTTCTGTGGAGTTTACAAGATGGAAATGGTGCATATTCATACACGTGGCTGCTTAAGACACCAGCATTAAATGCCAAAACTGCTCCTGTCTGCAAATCCTAGGTCTGCAATTTCCCTGATTTGGGCTATTTAAACTCTTCATTAATATCTATTCTAAACTGTCTAGTAGGCTGGAGCTTCCCTCTTACAAATAACATCAAAGCCGCATTAAACCTTTTGCAATAGCTATTTGCTGGACTGCACGTTAGCCTTTCGGCCCTTAAAGAGACACACTTCACCTGCCCCCCATTTACGCTCACCAAGCTGTCTGCTTTTGGGTTTCGCACATTCGGGCAAATAAGCAGTCCACCTTTAAGAGGTCTCACTCCGGTGCTCAGGATGAGACAACAAATCACTGAGACCAAAGAGCGTTCCTTCCCCACCAAATGGAGGTCTCCAGATCTCTCTTACAAGGAGAGGCAATTTTCTGCTAACCACATCCTCCCGTGTCCAAACTTCCCACCTCTCCAACATTGGCCAGGTGGCAAAGTGGCCTTTTCAAATTTTGAAAAGGCATTGATCTTATTAACTACATAAAAAATGATCATTTGGTGTTTAAAGAAAACGATGCATACAGCCAATGAAATACTAATGGAGGATTAATACCTGTTTTAAGGAAATGCTTCCGTGAAGCCCTTAGGTAATGAAAACTTTAACATAATAAGGGAATTCACCTGTGTTTGCATAGCACAGGGTCGAATAAATGTTTATATTGGCATTTCATGCTGCTCCTCTGTTTAGGATACCAAGAATATAGGCTCTTCTGACATATCCAGGAGAGTTTTATATGGTGTTCCTAGTTCACAGTCATGTTAGACATATTTTTAATTGAACACAAGAATAAAGAGAATTTTATGAATTAATGACAAAATTATACAATTGATTGGACCCAAGAACCTTTTATCATTTTCTGTAATAAGTTAAATCGTTGCGAATGTAATATCAGATTCTTATGTTATATACTCCAGTAAGTCCATATTAGATTTGCATGATAGTTATGCCAGGGGACACGTAGTATATATGTGCCATATATATTAAATATGATGCAAAACATATATATGTGTGTCTCTAAGTAGTCCTAATTTTTTTTCCGTACAGATTAAATGTAAGTGTCTCTGTTTCAACAAACCATGCTGCATGTGACACATGCATACATTTTTAGAATACATCTCCTCCCACCTCTCCTAAGTTCAAGATCTCCCCCCTTGACCTCACCCCAACCTCCAACTTCTGAAAAATCAAGTTCTTAGTTTAGCTTGAGCAGATATCTTTAACAGGCTTGTTTGAATAAATATGCCAAAATACTTTACATTCTGTCAGTATCTAGTCAGAAAATTGTGCATGGAAAAAAGAGATGAAAAGAACCAAGACAGAAAGAAAATTAGTGCCATGGCAAGCTTTCAATACAGTATCTCTGAGCCAAGTTTTCTCAGTGAAATGACATATCCTCACTAAAATACCCCTTTTATATAATTATGCACTGAGCACACATAACCAAAAGTAACTTTTATTTTTGTTCCTTATCGAGGAATACATATTGCCCAGGCTAAGAATGCGGAAACAAAAGCTGGGATAATTATAGCTAATTTAACTTTGGAAAACTCTTCTCTAGCAGTCCAGCATATAACCCCCCAAACTAAAGTTATGTAACAAGGTAATATCAACAATGAGAAACTGCATGATAAAATCCTGCCCAAAAGTGAAAAATGCTAATTTTGTCTCATTTAGCAGCTGGATACAGAAATGCTCATTAGTTTTAAGAGGGTTAATCCTTTTAACTTTTGCATATTGATATGCCAATTATGCCTAATTGTACAAGAGGCATCAGTCAAGGTAATAGTGCATAAACACATGAAAGTTATTAAGTACATCCCAACATGTAATAAAGTAGGTGTTAATTGGTAGCTGAGTTCTGCGGGCTATTGAGGTGGATAATTCATTGAGAGATGGATCACTTGTAATTTCTCTCCATAATTCCTTTTGCAGTCTCATGCTGTGATGTTTTCATGCTTGTCAAAAACAACTGCGGCATAGTGCCTTTTGTTAAACACAGCCAATAAAATATGTTAGGCATCATTAAATATACTTAACTTTTAAACTTTTTCAAAGGTACAGTTCTTACTGCTAATACATTATAGAGATTCCAATAATTTACTCTAACCACTGTCTCAAGTTCATAGTTGAGGAACATTTTAGCTGGTTTAAAAGCAAAGTCAGGCTGCCAGGGTTGTGCCTCCCGGCAGACAGTACTTTTAAATGAGAGAGTGAATAAAGAAAAACACATCTCTCCGGTAACTTATCTCAGGATGTATCTCCCACTCCCGACATGTTATCACTGACTTCCTCATGCTAAATCTGTCTATAATACCTGAAGAAAGCATGATTAAAACCATGTACTTCTCAAGCTCTTGAGATGGAATTCCGCACACTTGAAATTTGAGTGAGAACAGAGAATAAATATAATCGGTAACATGCTACTCAGCAAGTTTATCTCATTTAATAACTCAGTTAGGGAGCTGAATATTTCATGGGCCCCTATGATATTAACAGAACACTCAATTAATAGTTCACATGTTTCTGCAGAGTGACTGGGACTCGCAGCCTGTCCCCAGCTAACCTATTTCCCGCTCTTGCTCTCAGTGTGAGAAACAAAATAGATCTGGGGTCCAAAAGAGTGGCTAACATTGCATAAATAATTTTGTAACATCCTATGGCCTCAGCTGCAAGTTACCACCATTATGGAAGAAAATTAACCAGAGGAGACCCATCGCAATCAGTGTGTTTAGGATTGCGATGCGTGCAGGGGCAGGGAGGCAATTGGCAGTAGAGTTCATCTCTAACTATTTTATTTCAGATCTTCCTAATGACACATTATCGAGACAAAATGGCTTCCTCTCCAAACCTTCCATCGCCATACCATTTAAGCTTATTCCAAATCAAATCGTAATTACAATATCATATATTGTTGGGAGATTTTAAGAAAGAGATTTTCACATTTTTTTAAAAGATTTTGTTTTCCCCCCCTCAGTTCATTCTTAGCTAATTTTAGCCTCTGGCTTTTCAAAGTGATGTACTGTATTTGGAAGTGCAAACACCACATGCTAGCATAACCTCATTATTTTTATAACACTGAAGCATGATAGTGGAGGCCCTTAAAATGAGTCAAAGGTGCTCTTCAGGCTAGCTCCAAATCCACTTTATCACTCTGGATTAAGCCCAGCTCCACTCTCACAACTGGGGATATTATTATGACTATAAGTAGGCAAGATAAAATGCATTACAAAAACAGTTTTCTCATGCACATTAGGAAAACAAATAAAACAAAGCTAAGTAGTTCTTTTTTTTTTTTTTTAACAAAATTCTGTATCTGGGAACATGGGGGTTTTAGGGTATTTGACTTACGGGTTCAATGACCTTCCCAACATCGGTGAGGATCATGGATTTACTTTGGCTCAGCCTGTCGTGGTGGCTGTTGGCATTTTTGATTCTCATTTGCACAGCTCCGGTGCCTTGACGGGTGGAATTCAGTGTTTCCACAGAGGTATCAGAATTCGTAGATTTCTGCATATTATAGGGTTATCCTGATAACATATAAAAGCATTATGTTATTCTAAATATATCTTTTCCAAGAAAAACTTGGTGGGGTGCAGGTTCCTATTTATCACTAAGGTACAAAAATGAAACAAACAATCTCCGCCTCTCTGAATAGCAGAGAAGGTAATTACTTTGTAGTTGTTTTTATCAACTGGGTCCTCTGTATGTGGACAGCGCTATATATGCCAGAGGACTTCAGAGTTCATAGCCAGCACAGCCATGCTCGTGTCGGTCCTAATTCCATTAAGGAATTCCTAATGGCAATGTGATAGTCTTCCTTATGTAGAAATGCCAACTAAGCATCCTTAGGCTACATGCTGTTTGCACTCACAACGTCACTGAACTTTTACCTACCCCATCCCACCCCACCTCTACACGCTACCACCCACAGCCTTTTTTGGTGACCAAAAACCTGCATATTTCAGTGAGTAGAACTGGAGTTAGGACAAACTAAGCTGGTCCCACTGACTATGAAATATGTTGCCTTGGCCTTCTTTGCCTGCTGCTCAGCCTTAGCCCCGACCCCCACTCACAATACCCAAGGAGGGAAAGTAAAGGTCCTTTGTCTGCTGCCATCTGCCAACTGAACTAGATTCAGTAGCTTTTCGTTGGACATAATGTTGATGAAGTATATGAAGAAAAAGAAAATCAAAACCATTTATTTAGTGATATTTGTTTTAATGGAAGAAGTCTGATTTATTTTTATTTTTGTGTATAGTGTTAGAAAATGGTCCAGTTTTATTCTTTTATGTGGAGCTGTCCAGTTTTCCCAGAACCTTTTATTGAAGAAACTGTCCTTTCCCCATTGTATATTCTTGCCTCCTTTGTCATAGATTGGCTGACCATATAATCTTGGGCTTATTTCTAGGCTTTCTACCCTGTTCTACTGATCTATGTGTCTGTTTTTGTCCCAGTATCATACTGTTTTGATTACTACAGCTTTGTAGTATATTTTGAAATCAAAAACACAAGAAGTAATACGTGTTGGTGAGTATATAGAGAAAAAAGACCCCTTGTGCACTGTTGGCAGGAATGCAAACTGGTGCAGCCACTGTGAAAACAGTATGGGGGTTCCTCAAAAAACTAAAAATAAAAGCCATATATACTGGTAGAAAAGAATATACATATTCCTTTCCCATACTGTATGATCCAGTGATTATACTACTGGGTATTTATCGAAAGAAAATTAAAAAAGATATATGCACCCCTATGTTTACTGCAGCATTATTTATAATAGCCAAGATATGGAAGCAACTTAAGTGTCCACTGAGAGATGAATAGATAAGGGAGATGTGGTATATATATGCAATAGAATATTATGCAGCCCCAAAAGGCTGAGATCATGACATTTGCAACAACATGGATGAACCTAGAGAGTATTATGCTAAGTGGAATCAGTCAGACTGAGAAAGACAAATACCATATGTTCTTACTCATACCTGGAGTCTAAAAAACAAAACACAAACAAATGGATAAACAACAAAAAGCAGAATCAGACCTATAAATACAGAGAAAAAATGGTTGGCAGAGAGAATGAGGGTGCGGAGATGGGCAAAATGGGTGAAGGGGAGTAGAGGATACAGGCTTCCAGTTATGGAATGAATAAGTCACAGGAATAAAAGTCACCGGAAATGAATATAACCAATAATATTGTAATAGAGTTGTTTGTTGACAGTTGGTAGCCATACCTGTGGTGATCACAGTATAATGTCCAATCTTGTCAAATCACTATTCTCAAATTTTTAAAAAGTTAAAAATTAAAGAATGAGATTTTTCAGGGTGTGCTTTCATGAATAAAGTTAGGGGAAGTGAAGGAACGAAAATTGAGGGACTGTCATTGTAATAGTGGCCTTGGACTCGTGGTAATTAGACTGGTTGCATAAAAAGGGGTCATGATGACTTCTTAGTGACAGCACTGTCTGTACTGATCACCTTTGTGGTCTTCTACAAGTCTACAGACCTCTGGTTCATCATTGGAAAAAAAATTGTTAGGGAGGGGGGCAGCCAAGGGGATTGCTGGGATCTGTAGGATCCTTTTTACTTTACTGATGCACTCAAAGTCTGGGAGCTCAAGAAGTATTACTGCAGATTTACAAAGCTCAACAATTTTAGGCAGATAACCAACAAGGTAAATGCTTTGGTATCACTTGATCCCAAGGAATTTGGGTAGGGGTTGAGGGGAATCTATGATTAAACAAAGAAGTCCTTTAGAGAAATCTGGGTTCTCTTCCGAGTGTGTGTAAGCCTTGATCTTTCAAACTCAAAAGATGGTGTGTTTGTAATGTTGGTGAGGGGAAATCACTTAGGCTAAAGCCACTATCCTCTGACCAAGAGCATGAAGCCATTGTATTTACATAGCCTTGCCGTGTGCCATTTTTAGAACATGTTGCTTCCTCAGAGTCTGCACCAATTTCAATGTCAAATCAACATTTGCATTCTTTCAGTGATTTTACAATCAACTGTTATTTGCCTAGTGATGAGTTACTGTCAAAAGTCTGGATTACTTAAAAGGCCTCTCATCTGGCTTCTCCACCTATTTTCTTAGGGACAGGCTGCAGAAAAAAAGTTTCAGAATCTTCCTTCTTCAGACATTCTTGTTAGGCTGACTTCTCCTCTACTGTGGTATTAAGGTGATTTCTCTCTCCTCACACTTTCTCTCCTCTAGCCATTACTTCCTTTCCCATCTGACCCCATCTTCATATTTTGTTGATACCCCAAGGCGCTCTAGTTTTTCTCTTTATTCAGCCTCCCTTGTATTTTGTGTTCTACAATGGCATTCACCCGATACTATTTCATAATTGTTCTCATATTCACAAATATTTGACAGTGTCTAACTTTGCAGAGAACTGCATTGCTCTGAGAAGAACACAGTATGGCACAAAACCTCCTCTTAAAGACTTCCACCAGCAGAAAATAAATGATCCATTCAACATTTATGGAGAGTCTCCTAAGTGGCATGCACTGTATCAGAGGCTGGAGATTCTTTTTCTTTCTTTCTTTCTTTTTTTTTTTTTTTTAATATCAAGTGCCTTACAGGTCAGTGAAGGTGATGGAGAAACAAATCAATAATTAAATGAGAGTAGAGTTGGGTCCAGTTGGGGAGAGGAGCAATGGCATTAAACTCAGGTGGCACTGGGAGGTGGAGAGAGAGAAAGTCTGCAAAGGAAGATCAGTTGGTGTTGGTGCTAAGTCAGGACAGGTTAGACATTTCAGACAAAGGGCTCAGCAATGCAAAAGTACACAAGTAACTGTGAGATTATAACGTGGATATTGAAATGTGCCATGAAGGAAAAACATAGTACCAAAAAAAGCTCAAGGAAAAGAGAAATGATGGCTTTCATAAAGAAAACGGTATTTAACCTCAGTGTGGGTGAGTGTCATCTGCTAGCCTCTCGGGGGGCTGAGGGACTGACTGAGAGCCCCTTCCTTCTAACCCAGCCAGGGCTGGAAGGGGCTGTTATTCTAGACACCCTGAGGGAGCGATGAAGGAAGACGGGTTTCCTTGGCGTAATACACAAATGTGTTGTATAGATGAAATGAGTGCAAGACAGTAGTGTGCAGGACACCCACCCCCCACCCACAGGACCCGGGGATGTGCAAGAGGAAGGAGAGAGAACAGAGGAGGAAGGAAATCTGAGGGGCTGAAATGATAGCTGTACTAATGGCTGTGGAACTTTTAACTGTTGCACTTGAGAGTTCATCCATCTGTCCAGTTAGGAGCCTCATACAAAGTGGAGAAGGCCAAATTTTTCAAGATGCCTTGGATTCCACTTATAGCCCTTTCTCGTCACCCTCTTTCAACTTCTCATTCTCTCCTTGCCTCATCCTAATACTCTATTGTTCCTCAACCAGACACCCTATGATCCTTTTCATTTTTAGCCGAAGCCCCCCACTGCAGCTCCCACTTAGGTCCCACCTCATCTACAGAGTCAACATTTCTGAAATCCATCCATTCTTCCTTACCTATCTCCTTTAAACATCCATCCTCTTGGTCAATCACTAAAACGTAGATGGGAGGGAAATACTTAAATTAATTCACATAGTGGCATTAATGATTGGTCAGACTTCCCCTCAACTCTCAGGGAAGCATTTACCTGAATCTCAGAACCTCGAGGTACTTGCAGGAACACATGTATGAATTTCACGATGCACTGGTCAGAAAGGCAATGAAGACCCGCAATTTGTGCCTTTCCGTAGTATTATTCCAGGAACATTCACAGGCCTTTGAAATCATTTTGTTGTTCCACCCCTGTTTTCTTCTCCCATTGACCCTCAACTTTCTCTATTTCATAGAGCAGATTGTAAAATCAATATTATTTTTCTATGCTTACTTATATTCTACTTCAAACATTTTGTTAACTATAAGTTATATTAAGTTTCCTATGATCTGGATGCTTATTCAGTATTCCTCTGGTTCTTCCTATAACATATCATCTACTCATTATGATTATCATAATCATCATTATTATCAAAATTTATTAGAGAAAACAGTGTTGCCTTAAGCATTTACATTCTTACAGGAGGCACAGAGAGCCGTGGTGAATGACTAATGAAAATATTGAAGAATTAGTTCATTTTGCATGTGTCTAAAATATCCATTGATTTCAGAAAACTCTCCAAATAAATCTCCCTGAGTGAGAAATTGAAATGTAAATCACTTACAACTGGCTTCACCATTTCTCTAGACTTCCTGATTTTATTTGTACCCAACGAAGAGCAAAAGGAGCCTGTGATATTGCATGAGTTCCACTTTCAATACTGCTTTAAAAACAGGAAACTGTGATGAGAATGCACTTTTGAAGAGCCACACAAACTGGCTCCACTCAACAGATGAGGTTCAGTGGTATTCTGGGCCTGATTCTCCCGCTCCCACAGCCGATACCCAGAGAGGAGGGAATATGGTGATTCATCTAATCATAAATTTCATAGCTGCTCTGTCAATTATTTGTTGCACTCTGTTAATTACATTAAGGTTCAGCAGCTTGCC